TTAAACAGGAAACATTCCTCAGGACAGCTGTTGTGTTCTCATGGCTTTAGGACTAGGACAATGCCTACTACAACATGTACATAAGCACATTGTTCTCTCTGACCATTGTCCACTGTCACACCTCAAGAATATCTTCCTCCACAATGGCCCCTCAGCCATTTCTCTCCCTCCCTCTCTCTCTCTCTCTCTCTCTCTCTCTCTCTCTCACTCTCCCTCTCTCTCTCTCTCTCATCTTTGAGAGAGCCTCATCCCATTACTGTAATAAATTCTGCCTGTCTTGATATTATGTTCTGCATGACTCATTATTTGACACAGATTGTAGACCAGGGAGGGAATCAAGGCAGGACCTGACAAGATCCTAGTAGCAGACACTCCACAGTAAGTATGGCAAGAACACAAAAGATAGGGAAGGAAACTGAATGGAGTACTTGACTACCTAAAGAAGACAATGAGCTCTGACAGGAGGTTTCACTCAAGTTCTTTCAGAACAATGGGAGACTTTTCCCAGGAAGTGTTATTGATAAGGCCACAAATGAAGAACCAATTAAATGACAGGTGTCTAACTGATGGTCTTCTCAGACTACCATGGGGCAAAGTAAAAAAAAAAAAAAAAAAAAAAAAAAAAAAAAGAAATCATACACCTGTCATATGCAAGGAAAGCTCTATGAGTTTGGGACTAGCCTGATCTACATAGTTCCATGTTTTCTATGAGCTACACAGAAAAAACTGAAATGAAAAAAAATTATAGTCATAGAAACTACATGTTATAGTAGAAAATTGTTAATGACCTATCATGAGAGTTCTCATGGGTTAGAAGTCTGACTTACTATAGAGAGTCCACAGTTCATTGGGAGTTAGTTGAATGCCAGGCCCACCACAGACAATTCAGAGTGTGCATAGTAAAAGTTTGGGTGCCTGGGCAACATGCAGACACCCCAGAGAGAACGCAGCAGAGTCAGGCCTGATGCCCTCCTGTCTGGACTTTTTCTCTCTAGTGTCCACATAGTACCTTGTAAAACCTGCATGGTAAAACCAAAATATTTCAGCATCCAGGGGGTTGTCCCCATTGTTTGGAATCTATAGCTTGGGGCCTATTCCAAACCCCACCCTCAGGGTGCCAAGCTGGGGTTCTTTCCCTGGAGTTGCCTCATTCCAGACTATGACCTTGAGAACAACCCTGCCATGGGCTCCACCCCTGGAGGGCATTTAAAAGACCCTTATCCTGGGTTCCCTTCCCTGGGACCACGTGGGAATGCTTGTATCAGATTAAGACTGGTTTTATTAATTTGGCCTGATTAATTCATTATATCATTTCCCGAGGAGCCCAGCAACTCAGGAGCTAATATATTTATCACTGAAGTAGAGGAAAGGTTAAGGTAAGTACAATGTTAGAGGACCCAGGCTGTGACCTATTTTATCTTCTAGTCTTTAGGTCTGTGGTGAGCAGTCTATGGTCATGAAAACAAAATGTTCAGGAGATGGCTAGAAAGGAAAAGCAAGAAAGAAAGAGCCAGGGTTCCTCATGGGCTTGAAGGATGTGCCCCAGTGAACTAAAAACTACTTCTAGGCAGCACTTCTTAAAGGGGCCACCTCCCTATGGCAGCAGGTGGGGAGCAAATCTTCACCTACTGAGCCTTTGGAAGGCACTCCAAATCCAAAGTAAAACAGGGGAGGGAGCTGCTGAAAGGGTTAATCCTTGTCAAGACCATCCCACAGAGTTCTGGGGAACACTGGATTTGGTGTCTCATGTCATTGTTCAGCACCAAGTAAGAAAGAAGTTCTTTGCATGCTCAGGAACATGTACCAGAGTTGAGACAGGAGTCAGAGTCCTTTACTTTTGCATGAAGGGACTGTTTATTAAGTGGCTGATTACAACAAAGCCCATGTCCTTGAACTGTTCTTATTTGCCTTGTCAATCAAGGCAGAGGATCCTGAGCCTGCTGAGGGGACTACTGCTACTATTCCCTTAATCATAAGGGTGGGGCTTCAGGGTGGCATGGAGAGATTCACAGGGGGTTTTGCATTTTCTGGACTTGTCCTGGCTTCATTACTGCATGGCTCTGACTACAGGCAGAAGCTTATTCTAAAGGTAGAGAAAGACAGCAATTACAGCATTTAAGCCCAGAAGTCTACTCCAGGCATGAGTATTGTTAATCCCCACCCCCAGCGGATCACACAGTACTACTTCAGGGATGGGGAGAGAACACCTGGAGTGAAGAGGAGGAATTTGCAGGTGAAGCCTCTGGCAGGAGGGGATCCATGCAGATGCAGTAGGGTCCACCCAGAGGCAGCAGTGCCCACTCTGTGCTCACAGGATGCTGAGTGTAGCCCCTGCTGACCCTGACACAATGCTGGCTGTCAGTAACTACACTTCCATTGTTACCACAAGCTGCTGCAGGCTGTGTTTCTTGTCACTGTAGCTGTATTTCAGATGTCATCCATCTGATCTGTTCTTGTGATCAAGGCTGGCTGGTGCAAGGTCCCCTGGCCCCTGAGCGGGTCAGTAGGAAGAATGAGAGCATGAAAAGCCACCCTGAGCAAATGCTGCCTTTCTGTCATTTGGACCCTCTAGGAATTGATTTGGGCCCAGATGCTGGAAAGCATGGGGTCAAGCATAGCTTAAGGTTGTGTCCTAGGAAAGAAGCTGATGTTTTCTGGGTCACATGTTATACTGATTGCTCAGGTAGATCAAGACTATATGCAAGATCCCGTATCTGCTAAAGTAAAGGAAAGCCCAGAAACACTGAAAAGTGCTGTATTTCCATTTCTTACAATTTCAGTGTTTTGAAATCAGCTTTCAATAATGGACGTGAAGATTTTCCTACTGTAATTATGACTGGCTGAGACAGTACTGAAATGAGGAAGAACCACCTTGTAATAGGAGTTAAGAGGAATGATAACCTGGCTGGTTTGTTTCACCAAATACATATGTAGGATTCATGAATTTTATCTGGCAGCAGTCCCTGCCACACACTTTCAATATGGTTTCATGGATACTGTATACCCCAACATGCAGGATGCAGACAAGAAGAAGAATGGCTACAAAGCAGTGGGGATTTGCTAATCTCCTAACATTGATGACAAGTGACAAATTGCCTCACTATAGGACCTGACTGGAGGTGACACATACATTTGATGCTCAGAATACTATTTACAACCACAATAGAACTAACCAGGAACGAGTATACCTGGCATGTACTGTCATCGTCATTGTTGTCCCAAGAGACTATGATATAACCTTCAAGTGTCATAACCCTAATGTCCAATGTGTGGAACCCAGGTCCATTCTTCAGCCGCATCCTCTTGTGGTCTTGGTCCCAAGGCACTTGTGGACAAGACTTCCTGGCAGGTGCAGAGCAGGCACTTTGGTCTGTTTACTCTATAGACCATGAGATGCTCTCATTTATGATAGAGAAGGTGATGTATAACTCAGCAGATGACAGGGTGGCCTTGTTCTTGGGCTTTAGAGTCCTACATGTGCCATTGCTTTCATGCCTCTCATGGGGACTCAATATGCCTGCTGTGAGAATTATTAATACCACGTACTATGGGTCATAGTGATGTGGACCAGGAATTGAGCCATATTGGCTTCCAGCTCTTTCTTCTGCAAGACACAAGAGGACATTTTCAGTAGAGACTTGTAGTCCTTCCCTTGTCCTCAAGACCCAAGAGAATTAGTTCAGGATTCAAGTTCCTGTGCAATTTCTCTAGTTGACAGGTCTGTCATATGTGAAGGCCAAATGTAGATATGGATCTCCATGTTTCTAAGGATTCCCAATTTTGGGGGTTTTGGGACCGCTATTATGTTTATTGCCCTTGTTGGCAGAGATATTGGCCCATTCACTGCCACCTTGCTACAGATACAGCAGGTGGCTGAGGGTCTTCAGGAGCTCCTTGGAGGCCAAAGCTGTTGGAACTGGCTATTGGTGGTCACTGCTGCCCGCTGTGACAAGTTTTGAGGATGTCTAGTTCTGGGATTCTCCATGTCAGGGTGCCCCCTTCTCTCTCTGTGACCCTTCTCTGAGAGCATATGGGTTTGCTTCTGTACTTCTGCTAGCTTCTCACTGATCACCCTTCTCTGTGGGAAGTCAGGCTTCTGAAGAACTAGGTTGGGGTGCCTCTGTATCAGTACCCTGCTGTGTTCACAGAGAGGATACTCCTTAAACTCTGCCCTTTAACATCCAAGAGACAGCTATTGGCATAAACCACTGTATGTGGGTGCCTCTGTGAGGTCAGAGGTCAGTCTTAGTCTTTCTCTGAGTCCACAGAAAGGAAGGAATAGCCTGTCGCTTCCCTGGTAAATAGAGATGAGGGATTGCTTAACTTGGAATATTCCCTGACTCTGCAGTTTCATTGCGTGTCCTTATCTCGGGCTGCTATAGGAAACATTTTCTATCCCCTCTTTGGAATCCACTGTGAGCCTACTCCAGCATGTGACACCAGAGTTTCAGTGTGTTCTTCCACCTTTGTTGTCTTGGTATGCTCCTTGTAGCCCCACATGCAGATGTCAATGTGAGCATGGGCAGCTGTAGTTTAAGAGCTCTTCAGAGAGGGAGGTTGGAGCCTGCAGTTCGTTCCACAGTAAGTGTGTGCTCGAGTGTCCATGGGCCTGCCTTTTCTCAACTCCTGAGCCTCTGAGTGTCTGACATTGACATAATTTCCCACCTATCATGGGTCAATATAAAAGGTTCCATCAACTTACAGCCTCAGGGGGCTCCACTCTGTGGTCTGATCTGTCAGCAACAAAATACAAAGAAATGTTAGTTTCATGAAAACAGTGCTACTGAAGTTGAAGTTCAAGTCTTATCTGTATTGATACGGAATGAATCAGTTGTTTACTAGGACTTACTGAGTAGAACAGACAAGAGACTAATAACATGTAAGCCATCACTCCTGATTCCCTGTAGTTATTCAAATATTTGCCCAGAACCCACCAATCCCATGTGTTTCACAGAGCCTTTACATGTTCAGGAGGACTGTGCAGTTATAGATTGTAGTACCTTATGAGTTTGATGTTTGTTTCCAGTTTAGTGTTTGAAATCTCGCAGTCATAGGCCATGATCAATTGCTGAAATGACACAAGGGAGCATTAGTGTAACATGTGTCCATGGCCTTTCCCTCTAATGTGGGGAGACCAAGGCATAATAAGGGGCCCCAGGCTTTTGGGATCAGTTCCTCCCATGCATCCAAGTTCATGACCTTCTTCCAACTCAGTGAACCTTTATTTCTCAGCACTCACTGTTTTCCAAGTGGCATAGTCCTCACTATCCTTAGTTACTGCAACCTCATAGGAAACTCTGAGGTGTTTGTCTTTCTGGAAGGCGTAGGTTATTTTGGTGATGTTGGCCTCCAGGTCATTCATCTGTTGTGAAGAAGACCTCAGTTAGTGAGGGGAAGAGGATGGGAGGTGCATTATCATGAGGCAGACATGTGTGCTTGAGTCTTGCATGAGATGCTGTGCTTGGTCCTGTAGACTCGGTCACCCAGCTGGGAGCTGGTGTAGCTGAGAAAAAGAAATGACAGGGACATTCCCATCCCTTTTCTGTTTTTTTTTCCAGTGGTTGAATGTTGAGGGAGAGACCTTTTGAACTGCTGCTTTCTATCAAGGATTTCAATGTGGAAGGGTGCTTCTCTGCCCTTGTGCTCTGGGCGCTCTCTGCCAAACACTTATGGAGTCAGTGGTAAAAATTCCTGTATGCTGCTACACAAGATGATGGTGCCTAGAGCCTGGGAGCTTCTCCCACTGTGGAGACCTCCTCCTATCTTCAATGTGGGTAGGTCATATTAAAGTACCTCCTGGATAGATAAGCCTGGATCCCTTGCTGCTACTGTGACTTGGCCACTCATTAAATCTCTGAGGGCATCAGTAAACTGAAGAAGAGTTCCTATATTGAGCTGTATTTTGATATTGATCATTTAAGGACACATGGATGTGTGTTTGGCTATGGATGACTCACTCATAATGTTTACCCCCTCCAACCCACTTGTGTGCTTCTCATGCCCCACTGAGGACATCAAGGCTCCTTCCTGATCCCTAAAGATGAAGTGTGTCCTGTGGCATTGATCTTACTCATGTCTTCAAGGTACTTCAGATTCTGCAGGCAATGGTGGCACACACATTTAATCCTAGCTCTTGGGAGACAGATTTAGGTGGATGTCTTGATTTCAATGCCAGCCTGGTATACAGTGCTAGTTCCAGGATAGCCAGATCTAACCAAAGAAACCTCATCTTGAAAAGCAAAGCAAAGCAAAGCAAAGCAAAGCAAAGCAAAGCATAGCAAAGCAAAGCAAAGCAAAGCAAAGCAAAGCAAAGCAAAGCAAAGCAAAGCAAAGCAAAGCAAAGCAAAGCAAAGCAAAACCAAACAAAAACAGGCAAAACTTCAGATCTCGTTCTTATCTCCACCATTTGCCTCAGAAGTGACAGTCTCAGCTATGTTCAGTGTAGTGCTGACCTGGGGCTGAAGAAGGACACTAACTGTAACATATATTACCAATATCTTCAACATTGAGTTGGACATTGTTCCAGAAATGGTGGCCTTTTTGGGATCTGGAGGCAGCCAACCTCCAGGCACTGGCACTGTTTCTCAGCCCAAATTGGCTTCAACCTGAGGAGAGGAAGGGAGAAAAATATGTTGTTCAGGAGACTAGAAGGAGAGGGATGGCCTGGTAGACTGGCTGTCACTGAGTGTAGGGTGAAGTTGCCTTAGCTTAGTTCTAATGGCACTGTAGCAGGGCTCTGGGCAGTCAGGCTTTCCTGAGAAGTCATAAATCCTCTCCTGAAAATAAGACAGCCATTTATGATGGTCTTCATGAAGGTGTGTGTGTGTGTGTGTGTGTGTGTGTGTGTGTGTATGTGTGTGTGTATGTGTGTGTGAGTGTGTGTGTGAGTGTATGTGTGTGTATGTGAGTGTGTGTGTGTGAGTGTGTGTGTGTGTTTAATAGTCGCATCCTCTCCTTGTCAGAGTTTCCATAACTAAGGGTCAGTCTCCCTCAGTGATTGCTCCTTCCTTTCTTTCCTCCTCACTTCTCTCCCTCCTATGTTTCATAACACAGGAAGGGATAAGTTGTTATTAATTAGGGGTCATCTTGGGTATTTCCTTTGTCTCCCTGTCTCCTCTCTCTCTCTCTTTTTTTTAATGCAGTCTCTTGTCTTCTTTCTGAACTGTATTGTTTTTGGAAGAGATGTTGGAACATTCAGTGAGGAACACAGAGTAGAAAAACTTATGCCAAACTTCAAAGGTTTTCCTCCTGTCCTGTGTATACCTCCTTAATTTTTCTTTACTTTAGAGTGACTAATAGTATCTGGAAAGAATGGCTATGTGTTTCCACATGTGACATGTGTAGAATGTTCTGACCCTCAGTCCTTTGTGTATGTCATAGGATGTTGAATGTCATCCTGGATGTACATGACTTTGTGATATTACAATTGAGTGCAGCTTCTTTGCTGGATTTCCAGAGGGGAAGCTGAGCCTGTCATGTCCCCTCTCTTCATTACCTGTGACATCCTGGGTTTGCTATCCTGGTTGTGTAGTGGGTGGTTGACATGAGCTGGCCCTTTTTGTTTTTATGTGTATGCTCTACTGAGAGTAGAGACCTCAGCTCAGCCAAGATATGGTTTTTAGTTGGAATGCCTGACAGGCCGTCATCCTGTGCATTTGAATGGAGAGCAGCACTAGCCTGACCATGTCCTGATGGACACTCACGGGACTGATCCCAGTATAAGATGAGGGGTTCAAAAAGATCTGATCATTTCTCTGTCCTGACATTTTAATCTCTTTTGTGTGCTTCCAAGTATGCTTTTCAGCCTTCATCCAGTTATCATTTCAAAGACAGTGACTACTTACACAGTAGAGGATGGAAATTCCTTTGGGAGAAATCCTGGGACTTGAACCTGGTACTTGAATAAGCTGCTGGCTGTTGAGGAGAGGAGGGGGAAGAACAGAGAGAGCCCACACTGCCACTGATGGCCGTTGTGTCCCACAATGTACCTGTGGTCTCCCCCTACACACCAGTATGGGCAGCTGCATCTGTCTGCCTGCCAGACACAAGATGTTGCTGTGAACATCTTCCATATCTCATAGGATGCTCTGAGTTTTGGGTTGACCGACAAGAATTTTTTTTTTTACCTGATGTGTCACAATCTGTTTGGAAAGGGAAACACTGACTATGTAGACCATGTATTTTGTCTATTGTGGGACTTGAGTAATATGCCCAATTCCCTACTTCACCTCCCTGGGTTGTTCAACCCAATATTTCCTCCCACTTTGGGTGTTGGCTTATTTATTAGGATATTGTAAGATGTCCTCATCTCAGGATCCCAGAGACATGTCCTTGGACTGTTCCTGATTCAGACTTTATGCAGTGTTTCCTGGAAAGCTGCTTGAGTTGTGAAGCTCTGTGCAACCACCACAGGCACTGTGTTCTAATTGTTTCCATGTTTCAGAATTCCAGTACCTTGAGGGAAAAGTGAATTGGTTATTTCTCTTTCCTTTGTGTGCCTAGTACAGTCGGACCTTGTAGTTTTGGAGCGTTGCATCCCAGGGTCCCTTCTTCTATGGTGTATCACCCTATGAAACCCCCCATGGTCCGTGAGCACTATTGGGATGACATCATTCAAGTTCAGAGGCACAGGTAGAGGCACAGTTCCTGTGACTCTGTGGAAGATACACATGTTGAAATAAGTGTTCATTGAGTCCATTTCTTCCATGGAATTCCCCAGAGATACTTGGAGGCATTCAGCATCTGCAGCCATTGGAGTCTTGGACCCACCTGAACTGATTGGGAGAGAGCCTTGGATCCATACCCACCAGGAGACAGAGAGAACCCACCTGTACCCACTGGAACATGTGATGGGGTGATGACAGTATAATCAAACTTTCTACAAAAGAAAGACTAATATGACATCACCAGAGTTGAGGGAGTCCAGTACAGCAAGATCTGAACATCCCAATACAGATAAAGCAGAAGAGACCAACCTTAAGAACAACTTTATGAAGATGATAGAGACTCTCAAAGAGGATTTGAGAAAATCTTATAAAGAAATGGAAGAAAAACCAAACAGATAATGGAAGAAATAATGGAAAAGGCAAACAAAAAAATGCAAGAATTCAACATATCTCTTAAAGAAAGCAAGGAACACTAAGAAAAACAATCAAACTGATGAAGGAACAATTGAAAGACTTCAAGTCCTGACATAGAGACAATAAAGAAAACACAAACTGAGGGAATGTTTGAAATAGAAAACCTGGGTAAATGATTAGGAACTACAGATGCAAGCATCACCAACAGAATAGAAGAAATCAAAGAAAGAATCTCCAGTGCTGAAGATAAAGTAGAGGAAATAGAGTCATTGACCAAAGAAAATCTCAAGTCCAACAATTCCTTAACACAAAATGTCCAGGAAATATGGGACACCATGAAAAGACCTAACCTAATAATAATAGGCATTGAAGAAGGCTGAGAAGCCCAGCTCAAAGGTGAAGAAAACATTCTTAGTCTGAAGAAGGACAATATACAAGAAGTATATTGAGCACCAAATGGACTGGACCAAAAAAAATGTCCCTTTGCTACATAATAATCAAGAAACCTAACATACAGAATAAAGAAAGAATATTAAGAGCAGCAAAGGAAAATGGCCAGGTAACATATAAAGGTATACCTACCAAAATTACACCTGAATTCTCCATGGAAACTCTCAAGGCCAGAAGGTCCCGGATAGTTATTCTACAAATATAAGAGTTCATGGATGCCAGCCCAGGCTATTATACCCAGCAAAACTCTCAATCACTATAGAAAAGTAAACAAGATATTCAATGGCAAAGCCTGAGTTTCACAATACATATCCACAAATCCAGCCCTACAGAAAGTTCTGGAAGGAAAACTCCAACCCAAGGGAGTTAAGTACACTCACAAAGACTATCCCACTTTACCAGAACCCAAAAGAAAAAGTGAGGCAACTGTTCTCACAGAACCATAGCCAACCACAAATCTAAAACAAACAAGAATTAACAATCAATGGTCCTTACTGTCCCTCAACATTAATTGTCTCAACTCATAAATGAAAAGACACAGGCTAACAGAATTGATATGAAGACAGAATCCATTATTCTGCTGCATACAAGAAACACATCTAAGCTTCAAAGACAGACATTACCTCAGAGTAAAGGGTTGGGAAAATATCTTCCAATCAAATGGAACCAAAAGCAAGCTGGTGTAGTTATCCTAATATTTAACAAGTTAGACTTCAAACCAAAATCAATCAAAAGAGATGAAAAAGTTCATCAACATAAAGTCTCAATTTTGAACATCTATGCCCCCATTACAAAGGCACACACATTCATAGAGGAAACACTACTAAAACTCATAGCCCACATAAAACCTCTCACACTCATAGTGGGAGGCCTCAACACCTCTCTAACCACTAGAGAGGACCACCAGGAAGAAACTTAACAAAGAAACAAAAGAGCTAACAGAACTTATGTCCCAATTGGGTTTAACAGATATCTATAGAATATTCCATCCAAACACAAAAGAATATACCTTCTTCTCAGTTATACATGGAACTTTCTCTAAAGTCAACTACATACTAGGCAACATAACAAACCTCAACAATACAAAAATAATTGGAATAGCCCCCTGTATCTTATCAGACCTCCCTGCTTTAAAGTTGGAATTCAATGACAACACAAATTGTAGAAACCCTACAAACTCATGGAAACTGAACAATGCATAATATACCATTCCTGGTTCAAGAAAAAAAGAAAGAAAGAAATTAAAGATTTCCTAGAATTCAATGAGAATGATGATATAACACACCCAAACTTGTGGGACACTTTGAAAGCAGTGCTACTAGGTTCATTGCACTTAGTGCCCATATGAAGATAACGGTGTATAGTTACCTTAGAGAACAGCACAACTGAAAGCTCTAGAACAAAAAGAAGCAAACTCACCCCGGAGGAGTAGACACTAGGAAATAATCAATTTGAGGGCTGAAATCAATAAAGTAGAAACTAGGAAATCAATACAAAGAATCAATGTAACAGAGTGTTTTTTTTTTTTTCCGAGAACATTAACAAGATAGATAAGTCTTTATCCAAACTAACCAAAAAGCAGAGAGAGAGAGAACATGCAAATCAACAAAATGAGAAATGAAAAGGGGGACATAACAAATGGACACAGAGGAAATCCAGACACTCTTCAGGTCATACTTTGAAAACCTGTACTCCACAAAATAGGAAAGTTCAAAGGATATGGACAAATTTCTGGATAGCTATCACCAAAATTAAATCAAAAACAGATAAGCAATTTAAATACACTTATAAACTCCAATGAAACAGAAGCAGTCATCAAAAGCCACCCAACAACAACAACAACAACAAAAACCCAGGGCCAGAAGGCTTCAGTGCAGAATTCTACCAGAAATTCAAAGAAGAGCTAATACAAACACTCCTCGAATTGTTCCACACAATAGAAGCAGAAGGTTCGTTACCAAACTCTTTTTATGAGGCTACAATTATCTTGGTACCCAAGCCACACAAAGACACAACTAAGAAAGAGAACATTGATGCAAAAATACTCAATAAAATACAGGCAAATCGAATCCAAGAACACATCAGAGACATCATTCACCATGACCAAGTAGGCTTCATCCCAGGGATAAACAAAGTGAAAAAGAAAAATATATGATCATCTCACTTGATGCTGAAAAAAACCTTTGACAATTTCCAACTCCCTTTCGTGACAAAGGTCTTGGAGAGATCAGGAATAACAGGATCATACCTAAACATAATAAAAGAATATACAATAAACCAATAGCCAACATCAAACTGAATGGAGAGAAGCTTAAGACGATTCCTTTAAAATCAGGAGCAAGATAAGGCTTACCATTCTCTCTTTATCTTTTCAATATTGTACTTGAAGTTCTAGGTAAAGCAATAAGACAACAAAAGGCAATCAACGGGATACAAATTAGAAAGGAAGAAGTCAAACTTTCACTATTTGAAGATAATATGGTAGTTTACATAAGTGACCCAAAAACTCTACAAGGGAACTCCTATAACTGATAAACACCTTCAGAAAATCAGCAGGATACATGATTAACTAAAAAAAAAAATCAGTAGCCCTACTATATATACAGATGATAAATTGGCTGAGAAAGAAATCAGAGAAACATCACCCTTTACAATAGCCACAAACAACATAAAATATCTTGGGGTAATGCTAACCCAACAAGTAACCCAACAAGTGAAAAACCTATATAGCAAGAACTTTGTGTCTTTAAAGAAAGAAATTAAAGAAGATACCAGAAAATAGAAAGATCTCCCATGCTCTTGGATAGGTAGGGTAAATATAGTAAAAATGGCTATTTTTCCAAAAGCAATCTATAGATTCAATGCAATCCCCATCAAAATCCCAGCACAATTTTTCACTGACCTTGAAAGAATAATACTCAGCTGTATATGGAAAAACAATAGACCCAGGATAGCCATAAAAACCCTGTATAATAAAGAAACTTCTGGAGGCATCACCATCCCTGACCTTAAGTTCTATTATACAGCTGTAGTCTTGAAAACAGCTTGGTGTTGACATAAAAATAGACAGGTAGATCAATGGAATCAAATTGGAAAACCCTGATATTAACCCACACACCTACAAACACTTGCAAACAATGGAAAAAAGAAAGCACCTTCAACAAGTGGTGTAGGAACAACTGGATGATGGTGTGTAGAAGACTGCAGATAGAGCCATATCTATCACCATGCATAAAATGTAAGTCCAAATGCATGAAAGACCTCAATATATTCCAGCCATACTGAACATCTTAGAAGAGAAAGTGGGAAGTATCTTTGAACAAATTGGCACAGGAGACCACATCCTGAACACAACACCAGTAGCACAAACACTGAGATCAACAATTAGTAAATGGGGCCTCCTCAAACTGAGAAGCTTCTATAAGGCAAAGGACACAGTCAATAAGACAAATTGACAGCCCACAGACTGAGAAAAGATCTTCACCAACCCCACATCTGAAGAGGGCTGATCTCCAAAATATACAAAGGACTCAAGGAGCTAGTCACCAAAACATCAAATAATCCAATTAAAAAGTGGGGTACAGAACTAAATAGCGAATTCTCAATAGAGGAATCTAGAATGGCTGAAAGACACTTAAGAAAGTGTCAACATCCTTAGACAACAGGAAAATGCAAATCAAAACAACTCAGAGATACCATCTTACCTTTGTCAGAATGGCTAAAAATAAAAAAACACCAATGACAGCTTATGCTGGGAAGGATGGGGAGAAAGGGGAATGCTCCTCTACTGCAGGTATGAGTACAAGCTTGCACAGCTACTTTAAAAAAATCAGTATGGCGGTTTCTCAGGACAGTGGGAACCAGTTTACCTCAAGATCCAGCAATTCCATCTTAGACACATACACAAAGGATGCACATCCATACAACAAGGACATCTCTTCAGCTGTATTCATAGCAGCATTATTTGTAATAACCAGAACCTGCAAACAACCTAAATACCCCTCAACTGAAGAATGGATAAATAAAATATGAAATATTTACACAATGGAATACTACACAGCAGAAAAAAATATGCAGTCTTGAAATTCACAGCAAATGAATGGAGTTAGAAGAAGCCATTTTGAGTGAGGTAACCCAATTACAGAAAGCAAAACATGGTTGTAGTCACTCCTACCTATATTGCTATAAGACACAGAGCAAAGGATTACCAGCCTACAATACACTCTTTTAGGGAAGCTAAGAAACAAGGAGGACACTAAGAGAGACATACAAGGTCCCCCAGAGAAGGCTAAAGGGGCAAGAGATCCTGAACAAATTAGGAACATGGGGGAGTGGGGAGGGGAGAGAGAAGTAGGAGAAATAGGAGGGGAGAAGAGGAGGGGAGAGGTGAATGTGAGTGATCAGGAAGACAGAGTCAGGGGATGAATAGAGGAGAGCAAGAGAAGAGATACCTTAATAGAGAGAGCTATTATAGGTTTAAAGAGAAATCTCACACTTGGTAATTATCCAGAGATCCACAAGGATGACCACTCTAAGAATCTAAGCAATAATGGAGAGGCTACCTTAAACGCCCTTCACATGTAATGAGATGCCATCCTTGAGCATTCCTTCATCCAGTAGCGGATGGACACAGAAGCAGAGATGCACAGCTAAGCACTGAGCCAAACTCCTGATTCCAGTCATAGAGAGGGAGGAATGATGAGCAAAGGGACCAAGACCAGGATGGGGAAACCCATAGAAACAGATGACCTGAACAAGTGGGAGCTAAGAACCCAGCCAGTGGGAGCTGGGGAACCTGCATGGGACTGAACCAGTACCCCTGAAGTGGGTGACAGGAGGCCTAGGAAGTCTACTGGGTCTCTTGTTGTGAAACCAATATTTATTCCTAGTGAACAAATGGACTCTGACAGCCCATTCCCCCATTGGGGGATACTCTTTCATCCTAAATACAGAGGGGAGAGCCTAGGACCTGCCATAAATGATGTGACAGACTTTCATGATCCCCCATGGAAGGCCTAACTCTCCATGTGGAGTGGATGATGGGTGGTCGGTAGGGTGCATGGGAAGATGGGAGCGAAAGGGAACTGAGATAGATATGTAAAATAAGATTGTGTCTAAATTAAATAAAGAAGAAATAAGTGTTTATCATGTTTCTATATTTGTCAATGTTTTAATCACACCAACTCACTGAAGGAGTCGGGATGATGTTTGGTTTCTCAATGTGTGGGTAAGTCCTGAGCTCTTGTCTTAGTCTTTGGTCTTTAAGGAAGATTCAAAAGCATATGACACCTGGCCCTGAGGTCCCCTGGATGGATGCATTCTAGACACTGGGGCACAGAAGTCCACTGACCTGTGTTTGGTCTTGACATAGCTGTGGCTCTCAGCTTGCTAAAATCTAGCTAGAGAAATTATAAAGCTGTCTTGCTTAAAGCATAGCTGATGGAAGGAAAGGATGTCAAGGCTGGTATGTGTGGGTGAGAAGCATCTCCATCTTCCTAGTGTGAACCGAGTCAGAGGGAGGCAGCTGGCACATGGTTCTTTTTCCATTTTGATTCAGGTCAGTGCATTGTTTAGTGAAAATACAGGATGAGTCACTTAAGTAGTCAGAAGGAAAGATACAAGGTCATGTGAGAAGGTTGATATTAAACACAGCAGAACATTGCTCATCAGCATTCCTGGCATTTCCTGATTTTCTTGTATACTGTGGTGGATGAGCAGGTGGACAGCAGGGGGGGGGCATTGTGACACACATTTGGATGATTAATGCAGTAGAAAGAAGGAAGTTGTTACTTACATCTCAATGAACTAAATGTGAATTTCATTGACCTGGATGTGGGTGTCTTGGATGTCAAGGTTGACACACTGAGTGTTGTTGGAGGAAATAGCAATTTTCATTGTCACTTCCAGGATGGATTCAAATTGCAGTGCACTGACGACAGGTCCAAGTGCTCTGTGGAGAGGAATGTGAGGCGAATGAAATTCTGCTGAGACCTGACGCTCCAGGGCAGAGAAAGGTATTAGGGAATGTCCTCCCGATGTGGTGAAGGTCATCCTCTAGAGGGAAGAACTGTGTTTCCCAGTCCGTATGCTCTTAGGGCCTCAGTCCTATGCCAGAGAGTGAAGAGGGTGGTCATTTAGGCAGTTAATGTTTGATGAATAATTGTCCTACCTAGCCTTAAGGAGGTGCCTGTTGTTGGCACAGGCTGCCAGTTTTAAGTTCACCTTCAAACCTAGCACTTAGGCCTTCTTTGTTGTGTGGAAATACAAGAGAGAAATGTAGCAGGGGAAAGGCAGGGTTTCTTAACATAAGAAGTTCTGGACTGGGAAAATTTTATATATATACTTGTGTGTGTGTTTGTGTATATATATGTATACATACATATATATGTATACATACATACATATATACATATACACGTATGTGTAAAAATATACAATCATATGTATATAGAAATATGTGACTATATATGTAATTTTTTTCCTGAGGCATGTTTCTCTCTGTAAGGAAGCCTTCCTGTGTGTGTCCTTGTCCTCGGGCTCTAGGATAGGGGCCTACATCCTCATCCCTCGTGACCCAGCAATCATCTGGAAACATGCTCACCCTTTTCTGCCTATGGTGGCAGTGACTGTGGAGTGGACGTGGATCTCATCAGCTGCCATGGTTATGTCCGTGCTGTCCACTGTTACTTCATCCACCTCTAATCTGCAGAGGGACAATACAGGCTCAGTTCTGCTTCCTGGAAACAGCCCAGTCCTCATGAGAAATACCTGTGGGGAAGGCGGCTCGCCACCTGCTAAGCTTTGCTACTTCTATGATTCTTGAACCAATTTTTATTTAGCTATAATGAATATATTTAATTTAGTAAGATGTATGTGATCTAAATTAAAATATCAATTTTCAGTAATTCTTTAATAGAAATATATGACTATTTGATAAGGCCTTTTTCACATAGTTTTAAAAAATCTTTTAGATTCTTATTTATGAATCTTGACTAATTAAAACTGAGATGAGACACATAATCATTCATTAAAATAATTTCCCCAGTGGAATGGCTTATTAACAATTGAAGGTATAGATTCAATAAATCAATTAAGACACATTAAGTTCCATTTCTTTAAATGTATTGCAAAATCTCATTTTAGACAAATCTTTGTGTGAAGTTCAAGCTTGAAGACTTTGAAGTTGAACTGATTGAAAGCTGTCAATGAAGACCTAAAATGCTAGCATATTTCAGCTAATAGGACAGAGAAGCCTGAGCAATGAAGGATGTAAAATAAGGGGTTTAGTAGAAAATAACAAAAGGAAGATGTTCAGTGTTTTTACCATTGCTGAGGTGTCATTCATGCCAACAACAGGAATGCCAGATGGCACGATGCTCCATAGAAGTAGCTGATCAGCCAATGAGACTACTGGGAACCTAGGCCAGGAGCCAATGTTAAGTGTTTTGAGATTTATGGGATTTCAATCAACATAAATGAAATTCTACAGTAAAAATTATTCCTTGCAGATTGAGTTGGGGTGAGACCAGAAAGCAAAGACCAAAAATATATCTTTGGTAACATTGAAAACCTCAGCTTTCTTCACCATATTCTCATCCAAGGATGCACTGAAATGTTTTGCAAAAGATGTGAAGTGTTTAGATGACCTGGATTCTCACTTTATTAGAGACCAAGGATTTCAGTGAGCATCAACAGCATGGAACACTTACTACCCTGACCTAGGGAAACATATCACTGAAATCTGATGACCAATCTGTCTCCCATCCTGATCTGTATTTGCCTGCTTCATCTATGAGAATTTCTCTTTGATCCAAGGACCTTCTCTGTATCTCTTTTTATTGATGACTCTGTGAGGAGGGAAAAACAGTAGGGAAAGAGGCAAAATATACCTTTGGCAAAATATACCCCTTTCATTTTTTTCTCAGTCTTTGATGTAAGAATGATAGATGAAAACAGACAATTAGTAAAGCTGAAAGGAGTGGGTGAGTTTAGCTAAAACCTAATCAGTATAGGCGAGATACAATGTATCTCCTAAGCTTGCAGTTAAAGATGAATGTTGTTAAATGTAATACTGGGTGGGGCTTGAGGCATTCCAATTAGTCTGCATCTAACCCTCTTACCATCTCAGAGTGATAAGACTGACAGCTTCCAGGAGCTTTATCTACATAAACTCCTGAAATAACAGAAATTAATGCAGAAGGCATTATCAGAAATAATGGGATGGCTAGTAAACAGCTCTAAACATTGCAAATGAGGTTTCATTAGACCTGGGAACACTTTAAGTTCTTTTGAAGTGTTTTCTACGCCAGCAAATCTTTCTCTTAAAAGCCTCTCTCTATATTAACATGATCTTGACCAAGGATGGACTGTTTCTTCTCAAAAAGTATTTTTTTCATTAGGTTATATTGAGTAGTCTAATATATGTGGTGTTTCATATATTAAAATTAAAAATACCAAACTGATTTAACCAATTCCTACTTATATGTGTCAGAATGTAAGAATAGTATTGCCAAAACACACTTACTCTAGAATTAAGAAGTATGTGAATTTTTCATAAGGAACCCTTTTCCTGAAAATAAAAGTTTAGGACTAGCTAAAAGTCTAAGGTTTTCTTCACAGACATCCAAATACTTCCAATGAAGTTACATGCATGTATGTGGAAAATTGTTCTGTCACTCAATTTGATTAACATAAAACTGTAGGAACTATGATTTTTCAAAGATTTTTTTTTACTGTTTGCTCTTTTTTAAAAATTTAAAAAAAAATTTTCTTATTTGAAATATCGATCCAAGTTCCCTCTCCCTCATTCCCTCCCTCCCTCCATCCCTCTATCACACCATCCCATGCCTCCCCCAACCACCCTCCCATCCCATCTCCCCCCCCACTCCACATGTAGGGAGATGCCTTCCAGGAGGTGTCATCTAAATCTTTCAAGTCATTTGGAGTAGGAACTAGGCCCTCCCTCCTGCCCTAGGTTAAGGGAGTATCCCTCCATGGGGAATGCGCTCCCAAAGTCCTTTTGTGCACCAGGGATACATCCTGGCTCCTCTGTCAGAGGTCCCTTAGACTGCCTAGGCCTTCTGAGACCCATCTTCAGGGGGTCTGAGTCGGTCCAAGGCTGGATTCCCAGCTATCAGTCTGGAGGCCAATTAGCTTCTCCTTGTTCAGGTCAGCTGTCTCTATGTGTTTCTGCAACCTGGTCTTGTCCTCCCTCTCTGCATTTGGATTCCAGTTTGGCTCAGTGTTTAGCTGTGGGTGTCCACTTCTGTTTCCATCAGCCACCAGATGAGGGTTCTATGATGGTGGATAAGTTAGTCATCAATCTCATTATCAGGGAAGGGCACTTATGGTAGCCTTTCCACTATTGCTCAAATTGATAGCTGGGGTCAGTCTTGTAGGTCTCTGGACATTCCTTTAGGTTCAGTTTCCTCTTCAAACCTATAATGCCCCCCCTTTATAGTATCTCTCTCTCCCTCTCTCTTTTCTCTTTCTCGTCTATTCCTCCCATGACTCAGTCTCCCTAATCCCACGTGCTTTTCTCTCCTCCCCTTCTCTTTCTCCTACTTCCCTCTCCACTCACTGCACCCCCACTCCAAATATATTCAGGAGATTCTTGTTTCTTTCCCTTTCAGTGAGGGATCTTATATGAATCTTAGATTCCTCGATGTATCCTAGTTTCTCTGGTGGAGTGAATTATAGGCTGGTGATTCTTTGCTCTGTCTAAAATCCATATATGAGTGAGTATATACCATGTTCTTCTTTTTATGACTGGGTTATGTCTTAGATGAAATGCTTTTGCCTGGGCCCTAAACACTGACCAAATGCCTGTTATCTTTATTTAATCTTTGGAAATGTTTTACATTTATACAATGTGTTTTGATGATGTTCATTTACCACTACCTCCTTCTGACTCTCCCTGGTGCTCTTGCTTCCCCTCCCTCATAGCTTCACAGTTATTTATATACCGAGTCCAATTAGTTCTTTCCATTGTTGTATGGGCAACATACTTGCAGCTCCTGCAGAGGCGAGCAAAATCTCCTCAACCATTAAATCTGCCAATAGCTCCCTCTAAGGGTAGATCTTCGTTTGGCCCTACTCCATCCACACTGGAATCTTGACTGGTTTGATCTCCTGGAGGACTTTCAGGTGAAAACAGCTGGTAGGAATTGATATGTGCAATAGCCATGTTATGTCCAGAAGTTAGCAATTCACAGTTCTTCCCATTCGTTAACATTGTCTTTGCCCTCTCTTTCGTGATGTCTGCTGAGCCTTGTGTGCTGCAAGGTTGTTGTAGGTTACTTGTCCCCAAGTGAACTCACAGTTAGGTATACGTCATACTTGCACCAGGTATGAGATGCTATTAACCACTACTTTCTGCAGAAAGAAGTGTCTTTGACTGAAATCAAATCAACAAACATCTATATGTGTATACCTAAATATTTAGAAAGTGGTTTGACAGGTGGTACATGAACCAAATGAGTAGATTTCCTCTCTTGGTACTATGATCTCCTCAGTCATTTGCTTTTATGCAGTTTACAATATCTAGCTGTAATGGAGAGGGTGCCTGAACCAGCCTTCATCTGTAATCAGATTGGTCACTACCCTAATATTCATCACAGAACCTTCATCCAGTACCTGATAGTTGCAGATACATAAATCCACAGCCAAACACTGGGTTGAGCTTGGGATACAGGTGAAGAGAGGCAGGAGGGTTATATGAGCAAGGGAGTGAGTCAAGATCATGATGGAGAAACCCACAGAGACAGCTGACCTAGGCTTGTTGGGGCTCATGGATTCTGGACGGGACCTGGATTGTGGGACATACTCCCAATATTGGGCCTGAAAGGATTTCAAAAGATCAGCAATTGTTGACTCCTCCTTTTTACTTCCTATTTCCTCCTTGTCTCCTAGTCCCTCCTATCTTCCTTTCCTATTGGCCAACAGTGCTTTACTTATTAACCAGTTTGAGAAACATATACAGAATGACATCTCCCATCAAGCAAGTGGTTGGATCATTGGGTACTAATACTGCCTTCACTGTCAGCATGCAGGCATTCTCTTACGTATAGGGTGGGGACAAGGAGCAGTATGCAGTTGACTCCTGAGCTACTTGGTCTGTCCTAGGGTCATGATTCCAGAAGACACTCGATATTTCACCTTAACTGAGGATGTATGGCAGGCTCCTCATTGGTGAGCCTTACTGTAGGTGTCAGCAGTCAGGCTGTCACTGGATACTGACAATGTCCTGTGGACATTGTAGCAACAAAATCCTGTGTACCAGACCTACACTGGGAACAGCATGATTATGGCCATCTGGGTATGTGGTCTACACTGGTCAGTGTTTGGGTATCCCCATGGTATTGTATAAGCCCTACTTTCTGCATGTGGTCATCTGTTGCATATGGCTTTACTCACTGGCCAGTATAAGGGTGGCTCCTGCATACTGGACCTGAAGTGGGGGCAGTATGAATTTGGCTCTTTAGTTACTTGGTCTGTACTAGTTATAGTGTGCTTGTGGTCCTTTGTGTTATGGTCTATCGTCAGGCTAACTGTGGAGTTGCTTTATGGAAGCTGAGCCTGAATTAAAGTGCAGGGTTCATTCAGTCAGTCCTCTTGGTATTAGCTCTTTTCTGAGAATAGCTGGAAGTCGACCCCCTGGATTCCAGTCCTACACCAAGTCAATGTGTGAATTTCCCTATGAGTCCTGGATCTGCCTTGTTTCAGCACACTGTCTGCCCTATTAGAACTACATCTTTCCTTCAGCCAATCAAAGGCTATCTCCTCCAGTCCTGGGTTTTTCCTAGGGACCACGTTACAGCTGCATCCTGGATAGTAGGAATTCACCTAGGGTAGTGTTTAGTTAACTTTTTAATACTTGGATTACATGAGGTCAGAATGGAATGTGCCCTAAGTGCTAAGCCTACTCTGATAACAGAGTACAGACATGGTACTTTGGATATCTGGCTTGCACTGATTTTCGAGTGGGTTGTATTCAAGGTACTGGGACAGCTCTGAAGTCTTCAAGAGTGGGCCTTTCTCGGTGGGCTACTGTCTTAGGTCACCATGCAGGTGGTCGTTTGTGCCCTGGACCTCCAAGGGTTGCAAATGGCCCTTGGTGTACAGATCCATCTCTGAGGTTGATAGACAGTTTGAGTGTGATGGGAGTTTACTTTAGTCCAGTTGTGGTTGATCCAAGGAGCCTTAAGTACAGTCCTGGGACAGGCACTTCAAGGTCATGTCTCATGCCAGTTAAGAGTAAAAACAGGCCCATTGTGTGGTTAAACAAAGTGGAAGCAAACTATTCAAGGGAATTTACAGAGAAGTGAGAAACTCCAAGGATTTGGAGTGGATTCTCTGAGAGTGGATTCTCAGAGAGGCAAAAGCTATTGCCCTTTATTCTCTAGGGTGTTCGTGTGTGTGTGTGTGTGTGTGTGTGTGTGTGTGTGCGTGTGCGTGTGCGTGTGCGTGTGCGTGTGTGTGTGTGTGTGTGTGTGTGTGTGTGTGTGTCCTGCTGCATAGCAGAAACTGGAACAAGGCTGATGAGTGCGATTATTGCTCTGATACTGTTAAGTTCTCCATGCTATCATAGGCCAAGCCAGCAGAGGGCCCACATGCTCTAATCATGTCCCTTAGGCCAACCTTAAAATAAACAAACACTCTTTGTTCCTCATGTCCACAAAAAGTAGTGGCCATTGTTTTAGTTAATATCTGTGGCACTGACTGGAGTCTCTGCTTAAAGTGGGTGGAGGTTTTTATAGAAGCTGTCTTTATGTAGTCTGTTATAATTACCAAATTTAAAATGATCACTAGCCTATAATTCACACCACCGGAGAACCTAGGATATAAGGGATTCATACAAGATCCCTCACAGAAGGGGAAAGGAACAAGATCTTCTGAGCATATTGGGAGTGGTGGGGGCAGTGAGTGGAGAGGGAGTTAGGAGAAAGAGAAGGGGAGGATAGGGGTGGGTGATGGTGTCCATTTCTTTTCTCAATGTTGGGACCTCATTAACCTTAGACGTGTGCAGGCCTGTGCATGCTGCCACAGTCTCTGAAGTTCATATTGTGTTGGTCCTATTCTGTCTATAAGTCTGCCTTTGCTTGGTGTCTTCCACCCCTACTGGCTCTTACAATGTTTCTAATGCTGTACTCAGAGACAGAGGTAAATAAACTCTGTGCTTCTTGAAAAAAAAAAATTAAAGAAGAAAATAAAAAAGAAGAGCACAGTTCAAACACAAACAATGATATGGATCAAAGCAGGTAAGAGCCAGATATCAGTACTACTCTACTGGGAGCATAGCAAATAGGTCCTTGAGCCTGCAGATCCCTAGACAAACCTGGATTGTCTTTCCAATGGGAAAATGAGAAACCTGCACTTCCATCCAGAAAGCTGAGAAGTGGAAATGATGATCTGTGTTCTCTGTTGGTCCAGGCTGAATCAAGCTCTTACAACCAAGACCATGAGGTGGCTAGTGCTCTGAATGACCAGAGGGATCCAGAGTCTTACCCAAGTCCCCACAACCTGGACCAGAGGTGGCTGTGGGTGTCCATAAAGATGGCTGCACTTCATCTTGGCACAAGGGAAGAGAGTTCAAAGCTGTCATCAAGTCACAAGACCTAAAGGTCAAAGATGTGGCTACAGTAAGGATGTTTGGCTGTCTTAGTCTAAATAACAACAGACCTGAATCTGAGGTGTGGCTACTCCTGACCTCAAGGCTAGGGAACAAGAAGTTGGAGCTAAGGTTACTGAACCCTTGGAATAAGTGAGGAAGAAAAGTCTGTTTGTTCCTTATACACGATACCATGTTCCTTCCCCTTTTGGGTTATGGTATATAAGAGTGGTGAAAAACTAAACTTGTGGCATTTCAGTATTGACTGATCTGCCCTCCTGACCTTTATTCTGTCCCTACTTCTTTTCTTTATTGTCTATAGCTAGCCTTTCCCTCATCCACACTCTCCCACTCAGGTATGGACTTGGGGCTGCTTGGCTGGCTCTGATTGCAGCCCACACAAAGACAACTCCGGACATATGGCACCTGAACTTGGGGCTGAGAACAGGGAACAGAAATGATGGATGAGGTATAGCCTAGCAACGTGAGGACATACAGATGGTGCCGACATACACCTCCGAAACGTGGGAATGAGTATGGGGGACATAAGTGATGGACACCACCGAAGAACAGACAGCACAAAGGTGAAGTGAGTCGTCGGAATAAAGAAGTGCAGTAAAGTGGGGTGCGTGAATGCCAGGAGTAAAACTGTATATAATTGTAGATGTGAAACAGAAATATCAGACAGATGGTAAAGAAGTGAGTTAGTTAGCCTCCAGGGGTAAAATGTATATAATTAGAGATATGAGACAGGGAAATATTAGTCAGATGATTATATTTATTTGGGTATTTTTTAATAGCCGGGATAGCTGGATTAAAACAGGAGCAAGTACAGCAATGTTTAGAATTTGAATGTTTTGTAAGGATCCTTCCCCCTCACAGAAGCCGCCACTGCAGCTGTCTTAGAGCTGCACCAGGGCTTGGGAGAGCAAAGGGGCAGCCCTGCTTATGCACTAGGTCAGCAGGACCTGGGGGTGCCAAGAACTCAGAGTTGCTACAATGGTGATTGCTTACTTTTCAAGCAGCTGCAGTCACAGATGCGCTGCAGCGAGCCAGACCCTGCCCAGAGAGCAAAGGCAAAACAAGACCTAGAAGCCTGCACTCTTAGGAGCTACTGCTATGGGTAACGCCCAGCCAAGTGTATGGAAAAATTAATTCAGCCTATCAGAAACTGTTTTAAGACTTATAGAAAAAAAGGGTGACATAGATAAATTTATTGGGATATGGGATTTGTGCAGATGTTGGATGTTTCATAATTTAAGGATTAGCTATAGCAAGCTGCATTACAAGAGATTTCAATTAAGGATGTTCTATTTCAACAGACTAATCTTGGCCTAAAGAAAAGGAGAGCTGAAAGATGTATGTATGTTCTGTATGTATGGTGTGGCTACACATGCGGGTCTGAAGTGTGATTGTGAACGTGTGAATTCCAACAATAGGTACTACTTGAATTGCTAGGCATATAGGAAAAACAAAACAAAACAAAACAAAAACATCAGGTCAGTGTCTTAATTGGAAGGTTGGTGATCTGCGCCTCCCATGGCTGGCTCCCAGAGCAGAACAGCGGGAAATGCTCAAAGCCAGCATGATCTAAGGAATCTGTCTGGATGATTCAAAAGAGTTTAGCAGAGGAGAGGATATAGAAATCCTCCTAAATTTTGGTGGTTAAAAAAGAAATTGAAAGGCAGAACTTCCAGGAGCTGCTCTGAGCTCACTAGACCTGCTTATCCATGCAGGACAACCCTGAGTTCCTGCCTGCCTGATCTCTGACCCCCACTGCCAGTCCTCTGCCAGAGCTCTGGGCCCAAGCCAGAGATCTGCCTATCTCCATGGGACCATCCTGAGTCCTTGCCTGCTGCATCTTTGACCCCCATTGCTGGGCCTCTGCTGGAGAGAGCTTGGACCACCCAGAGCTACAGGCATCGAAATTCTGACCCATCTAAGCCCACCAGGGGAGTGGCACACACACACACACACACACACACACACACACACACACACACACACAGAGAGAGAGAGAGAGAGAGAGAGAGAGAGAGAGAGAGAGAGAGAGATCCCACCTGCACCCACTGGAAGAAGCGATGGGAAGATGGCAATACAAGACAACAAGAGGAACATGGTATGTACTTGCTCATATATGGATTTTAGACCTAGAGCAAAGGATCACCAGCCTATAATTCACACCACCAGAGGAACTAGGATACAAGGTGTATTCTAAGAGATTCATGTA